CGTTTTGTTTTGTCGTTGTTGTTTTTCCCTTCTTCAGTCCAAACAAATAAACAAACCAGGTGCAGGACTAAAATTCTTAGAGGGGTCCTCTCTGTCTCCGGGGCACGGCTTGCTTATTTTAGCAGCGGTATTAATAGCAGGAAATGGGTTTCCCTTCAGTTATTCCCTTCAGACACCGCTCCAGGCTGCTCTTTGTGGTCTTTGCAAGGGTTTCCCACTCCACAAGAAAGCCAATAATAAAATAAACAGAAAAACCTGCCCGCCGCGTTGCGCCTCCAGTTATTCCCTTCAGACACCGCTCCAGGCTGCTCTTTGTGGTCTTTGCAAGGGTTTCCCACTCCACAAGAAAGCCAATAATAAAATAAACAGAAAAACCTGCCCGCCGCGTTGCGCCTCTGGAGTCTCACAGCCCATCGCATGGCACGCTGGCATGCCCAAGCCGCAACCGCGCATCCCCCCACGCCGCCCCCTCGAAGGGGTTTGGGATGGGACCGGGAATAGCTGGCGCAGTCAGCAACGCTTCGAGGAACCCCTTACCCTGGGAAAAGCACATCCCACCTGACCCCCCAGCTCTGGATTTGTCCCAGCTGCCGCTTTCTGCCTCGGTACCCCCATTCGGGGAGCAATTGGGTCGGCGGGGAAGGAATATTTCTGGGTGTTTTTTCTGCTCTCTGCAGTGTATTTTTCCATTCAGGCTGCTTTTTGGCTATCCCAACCCCAGCGCCTGGTGTAAAGGGTTACTAGAGATGTGCTGTTATTATAAAGGATTTTAATAACCTCTAGGGGTGAGTTCCCAGCTCCCTTGAAGTCCGAGACAAAACTCCGACTGACTACAAGGGAGGCAGGATTTCATCGCCACGGGTTGTTTTTCTTTAATGCCCGCTCGGATTTGGGTTTGATGTGTCCCTTGAAGGTAGTACTCCCATGAGCATCCAGGCATACTTCTTGTTTCAGGGTATTTCTGTATCTTTTAATCCTTGGAAGCTCTTTGCTTCCCCCCTCTCCACCAGCACACTGGAAACCTTCAACCCTTAATCCTGTCCATGCCTTTTAGTGTCCATTTAGATATTTCAGACCCCTTATCTCCCTCCTGTGAATTGCTGAACAACACAAGAGTCGGGTGTAAAATGTCTCAGATGGTCTAAAATCCTCTCGCTAACCCAGACCAGCCAACATCATCCTCCGCTTTGCCCCCTGCCTTGAAAAAGTCACAGTTTGGATTCCCCCTCCAGGGAGGAATAGAAGTGATCTAAACCCCCCATCCCTACCCCAAGAGCTGCAAGCTTGGCCTGCAATCGCACCCCTGTTATTTGGGGAGGTTAATAACGCCTTTTTCCACTCAGTCCAGCACAGGTTACGTTTGCAAGAGGAATTTGCAAGAGGAATTTGCAAGGGGAGGGGAGGGAGGGAGACTCTTTGGGGCAGACGTGATGTTTACAGCTCTGCAGAGCTCTGGGTCACTGATCAAACCAGCAGCAAGTGGCCTGCGGACTCCTAAAAGACGGAGCCGTTTTTAACTCAAACCTCTCTTTTCACTTCGCTCCGGGGAGGTTTGCAACCAGCCCCACTCTTGCACGCAGAAAACACTCCCCATCTGACACCTCCGAGAGTCCGGTCCCGGGGATGGGAATAGGCAATACGAACTATATATAAACGTGTCAGTATCCATCTCACATTTTTGCAACTTTCCCACCCAAGAAGGAAAGACATCCACCTGACCGCGCTGCTAGCCTGCAGCTCTCGCCAGGAGCACGGTCGCCTGGATTAGGGGTAGTGCATCCCCAAATGACCTGCAGTGAGGATGGGGAGCAGGGACAGGGAATAGGGCTGCTTGCAGCCCCCAGGTCTCCCCTCTCCATGAAGCCTCTCCTCTCGCTTCCAGCTCCCGGGTCTCCCCTCTCTCTTCCAGCCCTCTGCAGCTCCCTTCTCCATTGCAACTCCTGGGTCTCCCCGTTACTCTGCAGCCTCCCGGGCTCCTCTCTCCATTGCAGCCCCCTGCATCCCCCTTCACGCTTGCAGCCCCGAGTCTCCCCTCTCCCTTGCAGCCCCCGGATCTTAGGTGTCCCTATACCCTTCTCCATCTCCCCTCTCCCTTTTAGCCCCTGAGTCTCCCCTCTCCCTCGCAGCCCCCGGATCTTAGGTGTCCCTATACCCTTCTCCATCTCCCCTCTCCCTTTTAGCCCCCGGGTCTCCTCTCCCTTCAGCCCCCGGAGCGTCCCATCTCCCTTGCGGCTTTT